GGGAGACCAGATTTGTCTTTGGTTTTGCTTTGTGGTTTTAGTTTTACAGTTTCCTCTTTCCCTAGTTCCGGAGTTTGTGAGCGCCGTTTGAATGTGAATTCAGCTGTATCGCTATCAGGAGTGCCACCTCTGGAAAGAATTTTGCTGGCGCTGTCCACCTTCATTGTTATACTCGCCGACTGTGGCTGCTTGAGGGGAGACACTGCCTCAGCACTACCTTCCCGAGCGGTGATTTTTGTAGTGATGTTGGTCTCAGAGTGAAGAATGCTCGGTTCTCCAAATCGGGAGCTAATTTCGTCAGGAATGACGAGGGCTTTTGGGATTTTCTTCTTCTTCCCAGTTTGGACTTCCTCTGCTGTTTGCTCTTGCTCCTCAGGGCGTATTTCTTCTTGTTTGGCTGCCTCTGTTACCTCTTTTTCTGAAGGTTTAACTTTGGGTTCCTTCTTTTTCTCAGTCTTTTCCTTGGGCTTCTTTTCTTCTATTGGCTCAATCTTCTCAGATTTCTCTTCTTGCTTTGCCTTTTCTTTTTCTTCAAGTTTTTGCTTTGCTGAGGGCTCTTTGACCTCGTCTTGCTTCAGTTCTTCTTTTTCTTTTGGTTTCACTACCTTCTTCTTCTTCTTCTTTTCTTCAGGTGCTGGCTTTTCTTCCACTTTCGCTTCCTTCTTCTCTTCGAGGTCCACTTTATCCTTCTCTTCTTCACCCTTTTCATCTTTCTTGAACTTCTGCTTCGAGTTTGACCGTTTCTTCAGCTTTCGGTTCTTCTGCGAGCTTCTCTATCTTCTCTTCTTTCTTTTCTTGGGACTTCACTTTCTCCTCCTTCTCTTCAACCTTTTCGGCCTTCTCAAGTAGTTCTTCGGGTTTCACTTCTCCACTATCGAGAAGCTAAAAAAACGGTTAAAGGTCATTCTTGATACATGATATGGTTTACTGTACAGAAAGAAACAAACCTCAAACTCGTCTGGCCTTTTCGCTTCTTCCATAGATACTTCAGCTGTAGTTTCATCTTCAAGAGTGGATTCTAGTTCTTCTGAAAAGAAAAACTTGCAACTTTGAAAGCAATCCCAGAAGAGATACAAGTGCGGTCAAACGAGTTCTGTTGCTGGATTTTCGCGCTACCTTCACAGGTTCTCTTCCAGCCACTTTATAATGTTAGGTTGGAAAATAATATCGTAGCGTTTCTTTTTTTTTCGAGCGCACAATCACTCAATACAAGTACTATTCGGTGAACCACATACCATTTGAAAGTACTTCTTCCGCTCTACAATACCTTGTCAGTTATTTTATTCTATATGAATGATCTAGAATCTAGAATATTGTTTGGTTTGCTACGCCCATAGAGCGTTGAAGGCGAGTAGCTGAGTAGGCGAGCAGGCGATTAGGCGATTAGGCGATCGCTCAATGGGCGGAGCAACAAATCAATACGTATCCTTCTCTTATCGCCTACTCGCCTACTCGCCTAATCGCCTAATCGATACGTATACTTTTCTTTTTGAATCATCGCCTAATCGCCTAATCGCACGTACGATCGCCAACTATGAACGCTCCATAACATGTACGGAAGCGGGTGGGGGGGGGGGGGGTAGAGCAAATCCTCTTTTTTCTCTAAAAATGGAATGTGGGGCTTACCTTCCGTTTCTTCCGTCGTTTCGACGTCCACAGCTTTGCTTGGTTTTCCTTGTCCAATGGAATTGACGGCGCTCACACGGAAAGCGTAG